CAAAAAAACGGTATTGGGAACTAAATTGACTTAAATCAATTATGATGAATTTGGCTTCTTTTTTAAAATTAACTTCTGTCGAGGTCAGCAGCAAATATGTTAAGACAGTAATGGAAGAACATGAATGATCATGCCGCATTCTAGATGGTCAAGCACTTCTATTTGCCAACTGGTTATCAGCTGGACAAGACATTTGGTTCCGTGCTGAATTTCAGTCGGCCAAACACATCTGTCTTCCAGCTGGTTACCAGCTGGAATTGACGTCTGCTTCCAAGCTGAATTCCAGCTGGTCAAAACCCATCTACAATCCAGCTAGTTACCAGCTGGTCAAAACCCATCTACAAACCAGCTAGTTACCAGCTGGTCAAAACCCATCTACAAACCAGCGAGTTACCAGCTGGAAATGATGTCTGCTTCCAAGCTGAATTCCAGCTGGTCAGAACCCATCTACTACCCAGCTGGATACCAGCTGGATCGGATCACTTTTTTTATGTTTCCAGACTAATTTCCAGCTGGTAAATTCAATCTCATTTCCAGCTGGAGCCCAGTTGGAAAATGTAGCTGTTTCCAGCCGGGATTTTAAACTGGGTTATCATCTTCCAAGACCACGCGGATATCTACAAATACGTGGACGACGAGACCTTATCTCTGTCTCACGTTAAAACGTCCATGCCTAGCCTGCAAAGACCCACGAACTCGGAAGGACAAACGATTCGATGCAAACAGAACGAAATGGAATCCATCTAAATGCTCTATGCTGCAGTTTCGGTTTCCCAAGACCCAAAATCCAACGCGTCTCCTAGCCCCAGTGATTCCGGATTCCCATTCCTGGCATGACGACTCCAGTTCAATCGGTTAGCAAAGCAAATCGTCGTCTCTTCGGGCCTAAGACTAAGACTAAGACTAGGATTTAGATCAAGTTTAGCAGAAGCGAGGAACAGACCCCTGAAGTCCTTTGGTGGCTCCAGGAACGACCTCATTCGGATCTGGACGACATGCACTCGCCCGGTCCTGGAATACACATGCCCATTGAGGCATAACTCCGTGTCATCTGCCGGAGCGAATGCCATCGAGAGGATGCAAAAACGTGCCCCATGCATTATTCTGGGCACTGAGCACACCAGCGATGAACACGCTATTGCCACCCTTGCCCTGCCCTCTCTTCGTCTCACCCTCAACCAAAGAGTAGAGAGCGTAACTAGAGGCGACACTCCGAGGGGTAGGGGGGGGGGGGGTGTCGAAATATTACAGAGACATCTGGTGACTTGTTACAACACCACTTCCATGTAGCAGCGGAATCGGGAATCGACTCGTTCTGCGATTCGACCCGAAGGGATCCCTCAACGTAACACGCGCGTCTCGTCTCGTCCGCCGTTCGGCCCTGGAGTTGTCCACGTGCACACGCTAGGCGGAGGATCCACAGCGACATCCATATTGCGATCCTGTCAAGGAATGGGATTCGGAAGCTTCTAGTCATTTCGTGATCCTTCGGTCACGGGACTCGAGTCTCGCGGTTCATTGGGGACCCGAGCTCGCGCCAGATGGCAGTGGCAGCGGCTGCAGGCCCACGCATTGCCCGCATACGGCAACGAGCAACTTCTCTTCGTTTCTTTAACCATGGGCATCCAGCGTTCTCTCTGGATCGTGCAGCTCTTCGTAATCAAATGGCATTGCCGTGCAAATGATATTTTTTTAATGTTGTGACTGCTGCCGCATATATCCTCCAAAGACCAGCAGAGTGGGGAGAAAACACACAATAGAACTATTATTTATTTTTGAGGTAGATATTTAGTATAAATAATGTACTATCATAAAAATCAATATAAATATCCCACGATCATAAAATCGCCCGAATGGGAGGAATCTGGGCCTACTCATGCCTTAGATTTCCCAGTTTTCAACAATTAAGCGGTTTTGCTCCTCTGTCTCGGTAAATTGCATAAAAATGGATTCCCCAAGCGAATGATGAGGTTTTGTGGCTTGAAAATCCCAAATGGAGGTATGTCAAGAATGGCGGAATTGCATTTTTTTTGCGAAATTCCGGAATTTCAAATAGGTGGAATTTTCTTCGCACGTTCTGCACTTCCACCGGGAAGAAAAAAATTTCCCGGGCGTTTTTGCCGAAAAGAATGGGCAAGTTAACTCGTGACCGGTAGGCACGTGATGGTTCCATTTAACACAACATGATATTCTTCAAAAACGTTGGTCGAGGCCAAACATTAGGCGTTAAACACAGTTAAATAAGCATACGGCTAGATCCATGGGATGATCCGGCTGATAGGATATTGTGTTATCCCAGGTCTAATAAACAACGGAGCAGGGATTTGCCTTGGCCTAGGCAAAGTTCTCACGGTTTACGATGCAAGTGGCGGGTCTGAATACGAAATCAGAGGCTGCCGAATTGTTAAGCTAAAAAGCAAAAATGTTAAGCGAAAATGTTAAGCAAAAATTTGCATACCCGATTGATTTGCATGATCAGAGCGCTCTGGGGCAAAATCTGGTATAGAAATTGAATTTCCCTTCCGCAAACGAAGCGCCGCCATCGGCCCGCAACGTATCGCTGCACCAACTACCGGCGAGATCCGGCTTTACCTCCAGGCCCTCACAGGACCCGTGTCCTAGGGACCACATCTAATCCAGGGATCATCGTTTTTTCACCAATCCCCTCCCTTCATCGCTCGGCTCCCGAATGAAAACATGCGATGCTGCTTTCAGCCTGATTCACACGGTCACCTGTCATCATTCATTTGTCCCCTTCCGACTTTCCCATTTTCCTTTCTTCTTGTCATGACAACAATTTGCTCTGCGCCAACTCCCAGATCTCACGATAAACCATCACCATTTATTTATCCATTTAAAACTGGATTAACGCTTTTGTCCTTTTTTTTTGGGGGGGGGGGGGGGGGGGGGAGCCGCCCCCCCCC